TTGTAACCTGAAATTCAGAAAATTATTTTTAAGGTTGTACAAAAGTATTTACTCACAGTTCAAAATCATTAATTAAACTTTGTCTTATTCACTTGCTTAAATCATACATCTTCCCTAGTAGTGTAATATTTGTGAAGGTAGATACCATGACTATCTTTTTTACTATTAAATATGCATAAAATGTGAAAAGAACCTAACTCATATAAAAATTAAATAGGCATTTAATAAACTAACTTGAAATCTGTTTCTCTCATTTTGCAATGTTAGTTATTTCTTTTAAATAGTAACAAATTATTTTGATACTACTTTTGTAAGACTATAAAAAGCATTTCAGTCCAAAGGACTGAATAACAACATGAGTTAACCTGAACAACTTAGGAAAAATTAAACATATTGTCACCTAATAATATTAATAATCTACTTGGGTTCTATATTTTGTCAAACAAAATATATTTTATAACTCTACCGTTAAAATTTTCACACTCTTTCATTTGAAGCACAAAGAATTATCTACACATTTAAAATATGACATTCAGTATACCATATTGTAAACATTTTATATTCTTCTGTATGGTTCTCAGGCATGTATGTGCTATTTCTTTCAAGTAACATTGTAACATGTCTTTCAGAAAATTCCATTTGCTCTTTTTTTGCATGTATTTATTTACTCATTCATTTGCTCTTTCTATTATTTTCTATTGTATTTCATTCAACATTCATTGAGCACATAATGAATACATGTATTTCAATATATTAGAGGGTCCATATGCACAGATGAATACAAAATGATAACTTGTCTAAGTGCAGCAGCATGCAAACATGTAAAATCAGACAAACAGGTGCACAGGTACCATTTGTAGGATGTTCTGGGTTTTGTGGATGCAGAGAGAGCAATAAGTAATGAAACATGAGGGAGTTAGGGAACACTTTGCTAAGGAAGCAATATGTGGGCTGAAATTGGAAAAATGAGTTAGGTGTCTAGCTTCATGATGACAAGGAGTGGAAAAAGTGAAAAGCATTTCAGGAAGGGGAAATGGCATACCAAGACCATTTAAACAGAGTATGTGAATTAGAATGGCTGAATCTAAGAGATATGCTCAGGTCAGATTTTTGATTAAGCGTTCTTTAGCAGAGGCACTACTGGTATATTGGACAATTCTTTGTTCTTCATAACAATTCTTTGGGGGATGTTTAACATCATTGGCCCCCATCTACTAAATTCCAGTACCACTCACTAGTCCTTGTCTACAGCCTGGCAGACCACTCACTAGTCCTTGTGACAAGGTCAAACCTTGCTCACCCTACCCACTACTTTCTCAGATGCCTTGTATGAGAACTGTAATGCCACACACATACCTGCCCCATGGTACTAAGGGGCACTATTGAGTATTGAGGAATTTGGACAATATTCAGTGGAAGATAAGGATAAAATGATGTTAGATGACCAACATGATCACATATGACATCATACTCTGACATCACCCTGCATGATTGTATCGCATTTTATAAAATTGAAGGCATAAATCATTTGTTATAAGCTATTCAAATTGTAAGAGAATGACAGGAATCCTCCTTAAAGTGTGAAAAGTTTTAAGATTCTTTGAGAATCCAGTTATAAAATGTACTAATTTTTAGGGTATGACAGCTCAACACTTGTTACTGCTTCACAGACATGAAACTGCACGAGGTCATATCTGTTTGTCTTTTAACAGTTCTTTATGGTCTTCAAAGATAAACATGACAAGATATTTTATTCATCTACATACATATTTACATATACACTCACATACTCACTGAGACACACATTGCTTTATAAAGCTCTCACAAATATAGTTTTGAAAAATTCTGATTTCTTTGAAGTGATTTTTTTGGTCAATTTTCTTAACAATTTGGCAATTGTAAATGCAATGTTTTTAATAACTACATTGTGAAAACAAGTAACAACTTAAGTCCTGATGAAAATAATGGTCAAAATAAACTCAATGTTTCAGCCAAATTATTTCATTCAATAAAGCTGTGTCCACACACATGATTCTCTTCAATATTATTACACAATTTGCTCAATGTTCATTATGTTTATATATTCCACACTGGGACATGTGAATTTGTGTATGATTTTTAAGGTGTTTTACCAGTGATGGGGCTATGAATGTATTATGTGATCAAGTTAAAAGACACACACTTCAGTTTTCTTCAATATCCTGGTGCGAAGGCTTGTCGTTCCCCACCCCCGCCACCCTCAACAATCTGGAGAAAAGTAGGTTCAACTCAGTGCCGTTCTCTCCATTCTATCATTTCTATTCATCATTAGCATTTGACTGGAAATCATATGGTGTATTATCTGGAAGCAATAGTGCATGACATGTTAGTTAGAAACAACAGTTCTGATTAAATGTTAGGTTTGTGAATTTGATTCTCACCTTAGGGAACTAACGCCCACATCCGTATGCACCAGTTAATTTGTTCTCAGCGTATTTGCTTTCCATCATAAGCTCTGGCCTAAGAACAAAAATAACCTAGTCCAAAAGATTCTTGGAACCATCTGCTCCACTTTGCCTTATGAGACTTCTGTTGTTATCCTTTACTAAAGCATGACTTGGGTGATGTTCTCAATGACGTATTGTTTTCCTCCTGTTTGTTTTGGCTTTCTTCCTGTAAGGAATTTGTGAATTATCTCCAGCTGCCTACAGCTTAGATAGCCAATTATACAACTTTAGCCTTATTGGGTACATATGGGATATGTGAAAGATATTTTTAATTAAAATCTTTGAGTTGTCAAATCATAAAAAAATAAATTCTTACGGGATTTTTCTGAAATTTTTATAATCATAAAAACACACTGAGTTGTTAACAACTTTCTCAAATTGTACTTTTGTATCAGAATGTGTATAATTTAAAACAAATAAAAGAACAAAACTGAGAGTAAAGTTGGTACATCGTGCTGTCTATAATTATTAACTACTGAAAACAGAAAACTACTAGTAGCTGATTTGGATTTCACTGTGTTCATAGTCAACTGTGAGGTAAAATAAAAAAAGAAAGAAAATTCAATCAGATAAACAGAAAACGTTTTCAGAATCTTGTTTGAAAGCAAAGACAAGAAAAATAAGCCTTTCAAAGAAAGAATTTTGTGCATTTCCTTCCTTTACTTTCCTCAGAATATTTAGTTTTTTCTTTGGTCCTCTCTTCTCCCACCTTCTGTTCCTTCATTCTTCTGTTTTCTGCTTTGAAGTAATTTTCTTTCTTTACTTAGGCTTCTCACCTTTTTATGTTTCTTGTTCTTCATACAACCTCTTTGAGACTTCTTCATTTTAGATGCTAATTAGCACTTGCTAATTGAAATTTTAAAAGCTGAGTATTATAAACACTTTAGCACATCACAAAATACTGTGATCATAGGCAGATTTCAAAATAGTTTCATGTGTAAAATAGAAGATGATAAGGCCTCTGCTGTCTTTTAAAGACAGTGTGAAAAACAGAATATGTGTCTAAACTTTACACTTATTTTCACAGTGCATGTCTAATTCTGTCATTCTTACACAGTTTGAAAACAAACCAGGCTTTTATTGGTTTCTGGCTTGTGTGATTATTGCCATCAAAATCCTGGCCTATTAGCTCCTTCCAAGGCACCATAGATATCACAGATTTTACAATATTCACTCCAGATTCCCCTAAGTCTGTTTCACAGTTTCTCACAGAAAAGGAAATATGAATAAATAGAACAACAATCCCAGGTATAAGAGAAAAAGAGATCCTTCGTAGGGAGTCCAATTTCAATGCCATTTTTTTTTTTTTAGTTAAATTGTATTTATTAGATGTTAGAGGTTGGATCTTCTGAAAATCAGATGTTGAGACAAAGTTTAGTGTATAGAAGGGAGGCAGGAAGGAAGTATCCTGGAGAGAGGTAAAGTGGAGAGCCATACAGTAACCAGAGCCTCTGGTGATCAGGACTAGTGTGGAACTAAAAATGGCTGATCAGAGTGGGAAATGGCTGGGCCTTTATACTTTGTACTTCTTCATCCAAAGTACTTTATACTTTGTACTTCTTCATCCGACAGTGTGGATGTACACTGCTCTGAGAAGAGTTTGACCTTGAAAGAGGTAACTCTTCTGCTCAGGAAATCTCTGAGGTAACTGCCCACTGAAGACTTCCTACCATAAGCACTCCCAGCAGCTAGGGCAATAAGTCTCCTTAATGGGTGTGGATGATATATCTCCACATCCAACACCTAAGAAATAGTTCACATCTTTGGATTTTTGATGATTAATTTTGTTGTAAAACACAACATCTTCTTAGCTTATCTTTGTAATGGGAGTTTTTGATGTACTTGAAACTCACTTCTTGGGGCGCCTGGGTGGCTCAGTTGGTTAAGCGACTGCCTTCGGCTCAGGTCATGATCCTGGAGTCCCGGGATCGAGTCCCGCATCGGGCTCCCTGCTCGGCAGGGAGTCTGCTTCTTCCTCTGACCCTCTTCCCTCTCGTGCTCTCTGTCTCTCATTCTCTCTCTCTCAAATAAATAAATAAAATCTTTAAAAAAAAAAAAGAAACTCACTCTTTGGATATTACTCATTTTATTCAAGTACACATCAGCTTCACATTAACTTTTAAATGTAGGTAAGATTTGTCAGCTTTCATTGACACATTTCTTTGATTTTTCTTTATTTTTTCTCCCTTTGGGAGTACTTATAAATATAACTACTAGCAAAATTATTGCTATTTTTCATTCGTTACTTTTCTTGGACATTTTCTACATTAATCTGAAAAAAGGAAGCTTCCAGATAAATGGGTGTAGTCAACTCTAAGCATGGGGAATAATAGTGCCTTTAAATCTGGCACAAAGTAGAAGAAGATAATAAAGACTCATGTTTATGGTGTTTATTAGTAGTACTATTTAAACATTTGAGGATAAATGAGAGAATACCTTTAATTTGTTTATATACAACACGCACACAAACACAGCTTGACCATGTTTTTTTTTTTTTTTTTTTTTTTGAGACAGAGAGAACGAGAGAGAGAGAGCACATGAGAGTGGGGAGGGTCAGAGGCAGAAGCAGGCTCCCCGCCGAGCAGGGAGCCCGATGCAGGACTCGATCCCAGGACTCCAGGATCATGACCTGAGCCGAAGGCAGTCGCTTAACCAACTGAGCCACCCAGGTGCCCGTCAGCTTGACCATGTTTTAATTACATGTTAATTCAAGGAATTTATGTACTTATTACTTTAACCTAAATGGATTAATTGACAGGTAATAACTCAGATGCCTCTTCAGCAGTATCTAATAATTCCTTTTACATTGTAAATGCTCAATAAATAAATATTTGAATGATAATTTATCAGTCTTTAGAATTATTGGCATATACAGTTTTGTCATATTTTTAACCTCAGAAATCCTAGTTTTGTCATTAGCTTAAAGTTTGTTCATATACAATAAATAGTAACATTAGCAAATCTGTAGTCATTTGAATGCTAAACCTGCTGTGAATTTTTCAGTTGCTGCCTCTACAGTGAGAAAGTTCTCATACCGTTGTACTGTTTCTTAAATATAGGTACTGATCTCTACCTTTTTGTTTTTAATTTAAATGTATATTTTAACATTTTATCTTTATAAAGATTGATTCCAAAATAATTATTTCATATTATTTTAAAACTTAACTCAAAAGTATATTATCAATGAACAACTTATTTATATCAATACATTTAAAATAAATAATTTTACATATTTTGTTTTGTTAAATGTTTAAAGAAAAATAAATATTTTTTCTTAATTTGAAAATTATTCACAGTAAATTAGGGAAGCTTCACTAGTCTGATTTTTTTATATATCTATATGTAATTTTTTATAATATTTAGTAATAATAATTTAATTAAATGAGATAATATATGCCCCTTTTATAACAATTCTTAGCATCTTGTAAGTGTAAAATGAATGCTAACTCTTACTAACAGCGACTAAGTAAACAAGTAGCTAAATAGAATATGATAAATCTTTCCAATAATAAAACTGTCAAGTTCTAACATTTAAGGAATATTTGTATCATTCTGACAAAAAACACTATTTTGACTGTAATTTTAAACAGAAAACATTTTAAAGAACAGAAATAAGAATGTAGAAAGATGACTTTTACTAAATTAAATTTCCCTAAATTAAATGAGATGTTCTAATATTGAGTCAGATTTATCTGCTTGAAATAATTAAGTTTCTTAGTGTATATCAGACATATTTATAGAAAGCACTAAAGTAAGATTAATTGTATTATAGCTTATAATGTATTACATCACTCATGATAATAACATGTAATGAGTTGAATTCACTGGGCATTTTCAATCTGTATCCCTAATTTAATAAAAAGTGCATCACTGAAACTGGCATGTGTCTACAGTCAAATGTCATTTGGAAAATTTGCAGACTATTTACTAGTGGAGTCAATGGACATTGCCCCTATGTAAATTCTGAGCCAGAGTATTACAGAGAGAAAGCCTTATGTGCATTATTCCAACCTAAGGGAATTATGCGTTGACAAATATCATTCAGGCCTAAGATACTGGTCTTATACATGGTCATGCAATAAATCATTATACTTGCATATATCATATACTTGACCTCCCATCAGTAATTAGAGACAATCTAATTATTTTGGGTCCAAATATGAGCAACCATCCATTAAAAACCAACAAATTCTAATAAGCAATCAGTCTAATAATGGGTAATCCAAAAGGGCACCTTCACTTAAAGAAGAATTTCTTGGGCATTAAATCACAAACAAGATCCACAAGGTCTTTAAAAACAAATTCACCTGCAAAACCCAGAGAAATCTTTACAGATACACAAACTGGGATTGATTTGTTCATTCATATATATATTTTTTTCATTTTATGGATGAAGAAACTTTGGCAAAACTGGTTTTGAAACCAAAGTTTTTCTGACTTCAAAACTGTTGAAAATGTTAGTGCTGTTCGCTAATATTTCTGGTTCTCCTTCTGAACATGTGAGGATATAGAACCTCTCTACTTTCTTGAGCTTAGGTATGGCTTGTGATTGAATTTAGCCAGAGAAATTTGTGTAGATGGGGCATATGTTACTTAAGGATGAAAGCAATTTTGCTGGTAAAAGCTTCTCCAGGGCTGTCTTTCATTGCAACAGCAATCCTGGTTGACGTGGAAGTAGAGGACTGAATGTCCTTTGCTTGATAGTTGCCTTGGAATGTCAGCTAACCTTGCAGTTGTGCCTGTATTAGTGAGAAATAAATCTTTCTTGTTCTAAGTCACTGCTAGCATTGTTTGTTTGGCTTGTTGGTTAGCTGCCCTGGCATAGCATCACATTCAGATACATAAAAACAAATTCAAGCTTACTCCAGTATTTTATAATGTCAGTGAACCAAATTGAAAATTATTCTAGAAAATTAACATTTTTACCTACAAATCATACTTAAACATACTTACCTATTTCTAACCCTAATGAAGCCTGTACAAGTTTGAGAAAAATCCTCAAATATCAGTCAATTTCTTTGCATGATGGTCCACGGTATCTCAAGCTCATCAAGTACAAAGTTAACTTTTCATTTCACTCTACCCTCAAAACCTGTGTTATCCATTGAACATAAAATCATCTCAGTGGGGAACCTGGAAGCAATCCTATTTCTTTTTTTTTTTTAATATTTTATTTATTTATTTGACAGAGAGACACAGCAAGAGAGGGAATACAAGCAGGGGAATGGGAGAGGGAGAAGCAGGCTTCCCACGGAGCAGGGAGCCCAATGCGGGGCTCGATCCCAGGACCCTGGGATCATGACCTGAGCCGAAGGCTGACGCTTAATGACTGAGCCACCCAGGCACCCCAGCAATCCTATTTCTTAACCCTCCATACCACCACACATAATCAATTACACAGCAAATCATATTGACTCTTAACATGTATTTGTATCATTGGTGACACTTAGTTCAGGCCTGAATCTTTGGATTATAATAATTAGATTTACTGCAACCTCCCAAACTCCAAATTATCTTCTATCCTTGTTAATTAAGATACTATGCTAAAATTCAAAACTGATCATGCATAAAGTACTTTAATGGATACTTGTTATAGCACCCATGAACTTTTCTACTACTGAATTTCACATCTTCCACTGGGATTTCATTGTACACATTTTTTGTCTTCTTTTTCCCCTAACCTGTGACTTGCTCAAGGGGAGACCATGGAGTCATCTTTTCAGATTCAGTTCTCAACTTACTCCCATCCCCATCTCCCACCCTTCTCTCCTACTTGGTTCTCAGCCTAATCTCAAGGAATATTCCATGGGAATCCTGGCTGGCAGATGAAGGTGAAAGGTAAGAACACTTAAAGACAGTATTATTAATACAAATCTGAATAAGGCATCCTCAATAATAGTTTCAGAACTTTTTGATTAATTTTCCAAATGTCATTTATCACTTCAATGCTTAAGATAAGTCACATTTTTGTTAATAGAACTGCTCAGAAATGACGTTTCTATTGTTTAATTCAGGATTTACATTATCTAATTCAGCACAGGCAAAGCATGAAACATTTGGAATTTAGGGTATACCTAGTATAAGCAATATTTTGTGCTTGTCCACAAAGCATAGATGCACTTATTTTATTTGATTCTTGAAAAATGAAACAAAGAATATTATTTTTTTATTACCCACTAGGAATAATGTAATTTGCCAGGCACTGGAGAGATATTGCCGTTCCAAGTTAAAAACCATTATCAGGGCTATTTTAAGCCAAAATAGCATCTAAAAAGGTACACTTACTCATATTCGTTTAAATATTATTCAAATTGGAATAATAGAGATAATTTGTTAAGTCGTATCTCTGTAATGAGTAAAACGTACTTGCAAAATGATCTGACCAAAAAAATAAATAAAGGGAATGCAGAATTTTAATAGGGTTAATGTTTGAGAGAATTTACTCTTAAATTTGTCCTCATATTTTCTTTGATTTAAGAAAATCAGAGAGAAAAACTTCTGCTATGATAGAATTATGTACATAGTTGTCAAGAGCTGATGAGATGACTCCTGCTATGTGAACTTTACCTAAATTAATTGAACAAGACACACCTATTGGTTTGAAAAGCCATCTGTACTAGTATATCACAGGGAGAGAGAGAAGATGTGCTGAATGTATATGTCACAGAAACTGGGGATATTTAATTAATATTCTCACTTATTAGAAAATATCAAACAGTTGATATTCATAGTGATGTTTTAAATGCCAGTGATATTAATTTGAAATAATTGTTCTCATTCTGAACATTATTTTGCATAGGTAAGCCGGTTGAATTCAGAGACTTTAATAATTTAAATGTGAAATAAAATGACTAAAGAATCAACCATAGTAGTTTTCAGCATCAATATTAAGGATGTACAAATAAGATAATAAGGTTGTATATAATATTGAAGATAAGGAGACATTTAATCTTCCAATTTAATGAAAAGGAAGAATAAAATGAATATTCTTGTGTAGTTTTTTTTCCAAAGGGAATACAGCAAGAAATGCCTGATACAAGATAGGTGCTTAATAAACATTTGTTAAATAAATCAGTGAACAAAAGATGTTCATGTTATACTCTTGCAAAGATCTTAAATATCTGTATACATAGAGCTTAGTAAAAAGCAAACAAAAAGACTTAGCAAACATTCAAAGAGACTGAAATAGTTGAAAGTATCTTTACAGGGGTGCCTGGGTGGTGCAGTTGGTTGAGCTTCTGACTCTTGGTTTTGGCTCAGGTCATGATCTCAGCATCAGGAGATTGAGCTACTGTTGGTCTTTGTGCTCCGCACTCAGTGTGGAGTCTGCTTAAGACTCTCTGCGCCTCCCTACCCTCTCAAATAAATAAATAAATCTTTTTTCTTTAATATTTTATTTATTTATTTGAGAGAGAGAGAGAGGGAGCACAAGCAGGAGAGCGGCAGACAGAAGGAAAGGGAGAAGCAGATTCCCTGCTGAGCAGGGAGCCCCATGGCAGGCTCCATCCCAGGACCCTGAGATCACGACCTGAGCTGAAGGCAGATGCTTAACTGACTGAGTCACCCAGGCTCCCCTAAATAAATAAATCTTAAAAAAAGAAAGGGTGCCTGAGTGGCTCAGCTGGTTAAGCGTCTGACTTCAGCTCAGGTCATGATCTTGGGGTCCTGGGATAGAGCCCCATGTCAGGCTCTCTGCTCAGCGGGAAGTCTGCTTCTCTCTTCCATTCTCCCTTTGTGCTCTCCCCATCCTCTCTCTCTCTCTCTCTCAAATAAACAAAATCTTAAAAAAAAAGAAAAGAAAATATCTACAGTTATGGGGTAACAACAATAACAACAGTATAATAACTTCTCTTTCCTGAGGGGTGGTCATTATATTATGGTTAATTCTTAGTTAGTGACAGTTCAAATTTGTGTGTATATATATATACATATATATATATGTATGTTCACATGCCCTCTCCCCCCCACACACACATATATTTCTCCCATTTATATATTCCTTCAGAGTAAAAAAGGAATGGGAAAAGAAAGAAGAAAACATCCAGAGACTGGAAAAGAGAAAAGAAAAAGGAGTGAGTTATGGAGCCTACTAAACTTCATTCCCATCAAATGTTATCTCCCTAGAGATAATCACATCTTTTTATATTTACATTTAACTCAGTAAATCCAAAAAGTAAAGAAATAAAAAGACAAAGTCTTTTGTCTCCTGTAGACAAAATATAAATTTATACATGCCTAACACAAATATTTACATTTTTAAAAAATGCAGAATAAAATGTGACTTATATCATCATACCTACAGATATTAAAGTGTTCCAGGTCTTCCATCTTGATTATTATATTTTTCTCTGTTTGGGTTCTATATGGTAAAGAAAGTAAAAAACAAAAACTCTCCACAATTGTGGCACTGTTTAACCTGTCTCATTAGACCTGAAAATTTGTGCATTATCACTAGGCCAGTTGGAAATAATTACATTATCAATAATAGGGAAAAAGAGATTAAATAAATATTTGTTTTGTTTATTCAGATTTACACTGACCCAGAACCAGAAGCTGGTTCCAGTGTAACCCAGATATTCCACTAGCTACTTCCTCAATTAAATACACGAAGGTTTGTTCTGGTGTTATTTAGTGGTATTTTGGCCTGAGTAGATAAATGGATTACTACAAATGACACAACAGCTAATTTATAACTGTATAATAAATTAATTTGTAGTATGTATCAATTAACTGTACATACACACACAAACTTTCACAACCTTAGCTATCTTATTAAAGTGACAAACTATTCCATTAACATGATGCATTCCTTCTAAAGATTTGGATTATATGGAATTCTTAGCAAACTCTCATTTCCACTTTAAATAAAAACATTTACTAAACCGTCAATAATACTATTTTCACATATGAAGGTCAAATTCTGTTTCTATATCAAATATTAGGAGATAAGTTACCAAAAAATGTATTTTCAGTTTTTAACATATTTTCCAAGTTTAGTTTCTCCAAATATTAGTAAAATATTATGATTTTCTACAGAAAGTGTATTATGTAATTCATCAGATTAATTGAATGAAATCAGCTATAGGACTCTACAGATCTACTTCTTTCTGTTATGAGTCAGCCAAAGATGGCCCCTGTGTATTGGCCCCTAAGTTGTTTACTACTTTACAGAAAGCTGGGTCCATTAAACTCAACAGCCCATCAGTGACAAACTTGGATTTTTACACATCCAATTGTTTTATATATAGCCCAATAAGCATTATTTTTAGCAAATTAGAGCCTACCTGCATTACATATATAGCAAAACTGCAACTGACATTTACTAGCTATAGATAAAACATACCCTGGAACTACAAAAGACCCCAAGCAGCTGCCCTTCAAAAGTCTCTGACCTGGCAACTCCCAGCTGTACTGCTGAGCAACATCACCTCCATACGTGAGACCTCTCCTCACTTCCCCTCTTCCCTTGGAGTTCTTTTGCCCTCTTTGCCTTCTGGGTGATGGTTCTGAGCTCCTGTTTTTGAAAGTCTCCTGATGTGAGCATCTTACTTGTAATACCAGTCCAAACCCAAATAAAGCCCTCTGTGGGCTACTGTCACCTATATGGCTATTTCCTTCATCAGCCCTGAAATCTTTGAACTCACTAGACCCTCTCAAATTTCAACTGTATTCAATAAATTTTAAATGTGATTTTTCAATCTTGTACCACAATAAACTACCACTGTACATTTATTATGATGGCTAAAAGAAAAAAAAAAGAAATCTTACAACACCAGTGTTAGTGAAATGCCAAGTAACAAGTACTCATACATTATTGATGAAAAGTAGGACTATGGTACAGCACTCTGGTAAACAGTTTGGCAGTTTCTTATAAAATTAAAAAGTACTTACCATATGACTTAGCAATGTTATTCTTGGGTATTTGCCATATAAAATGAAATCTTACTACCCTAGAGAATGAAACATAAATCCTATACATGAATGCTAATAGCAGTTTTATCCATAATCATAAAAAATGGAAATAACTCAAATGTCTTTAAATGAGTGACTATGTAAGCAAAGTCTGGTACATGTACATAATTGGATACTACTCAGCAATAAAAAGGAATGAACTATGACAACATGCAATAGTTGAATGAATTTCGAAGATATGCTGGTAAAAATTCAGTCTCAAAAGCTTATGTCATGTATAAATCTTTTATATGACATTCTTGAAAACACAAACTATAATGATAAAGAATAGGTCAGTGGTTGTCTGTTTCTGGGATGGGGGAAATGTGACTATAAAAGGAATAGCATGAAGAAGGCTTTGGGGTGATGGAACTGTCCTGTATCCTAATTGTAATGGCAATTATACAAACCTACACACATGTTAAAATTTATAGAACTTCAAAATGCATAGAAAATCAATTTTACTCTATGCTACTTTAAAAATAAAAACTAAAAATTATTTGGATAAATAGGATGGAAATTAGCATTATTAAAATTATATTTATCTTTTCTCCTTCAATTGTGTATTTGTCTATTAGCACATAGAAACAACTTTTGAAATATCCCATTATTATATCACTGTATTTTGATTTCACACCAAAATTCTTAAGTTTTGCAATAGCTTTTATGTTTATAATTTAATAGAATCTTTCACTGAATTTAAAACTATTTATTATCCCACAATAGATATATTAAATTGTGTTACATGAATTACCTTTTAAAACA